GGAAAACCAGTTTCGCGGAGGGTCTCCAGACGACACGTCGAAATTATCTCCGCTCTGAGAAGAGAGGAGCGTCCGTCGCTGTTAGCATATTTTATTCATTACCGTGATAAATGTTGGAGTGGAAGTTCAAAGACGGCTTGGATCTAGTGTTCTTTGTAGGAAAAAATCTCGTTACTGAGCTTGTCAACCGGCGGAGTACACCATCAAACGCATGTACATCGCAACCAGATCGATGTTTCACCATTAGACAGATAATGAACACGTTGCCCCCCGACACGAGTAGAACAAAATTGAATTAGTTGAAAAGGAAGTGGAGTATCACAGATTTAGTACCTCAGGTTGAAAGAGGCCGTATATTATCCAGCCACTTGGAGATATTACTCTTCAGTCGTGGTTGGAGCACAAAACTCATAACTGCTTCACAGCGCACCATGCATGCATCACGAGACATCACAGTGCAACCGAATATTGAAATGATTTTTCAATTTATTCAATTAATTTGCAATTTTTTATCATGAGATCACTGAAAAAAATGGTATGCTGTTTTAGCACCTAGGATTTCAGAAATGTGTCTGGTGATCCTAAGATGCTGCCTTGACCCCCCACGGAGTTGACTTTGCATTCATAGGATGTAAAGTTAACTGCGAGGGCAGCAAAGGCAGCGTCTTGCGATCACCAGACACATTTTTGACATCCTAAGTGCTAAAATAGCATATTATTTCTTTCAGTGATTGCAATATTTTTATATCATTCGGTCAATAAATATTATTTCAAACGATCAATAAGATGAGTTGAGTGTGTGAAAACGATGGGTGATTTGCATTGGGGGGGAAAAAAAAAAAAATTGCAACTTATTCCAATCGTTTTCCCAATGAATTCCAAAGAAAGGAGCCCCTTCAATCAGTGAACAGACAACGCACTCGACACTAATATAATAATCATTTTACTGAGTACCTGCAATTATTGCAGCCCCCACTGTTTGGTGCGAAAAAACCAATCTCTTGACTGGTCTGTTCGTTACTCGCAATTAGGCGATTAATTTATTAGTTGGTTAGTATGTTGACGCTTGATTGGGATCACTGGGAAAAAAAGTCGCTTGGTTCTAGAGTCCAGACTCTTGAAAACATCGACATGAAAAAATACTCTTGATTCAATCCTATTTTGCCTTGAATCGAAGAGCCGAGCCTCTTGATTTAGGCGGATTTCCTTTTATTTTAAGCAAGAATTCCGATCGAATCAAGAGTATTTTTTCTTGTCAATGTTTTTAAGAGTCTGGACTCTAGATCCAAGCGACTTTTTTTCCAGTGATGCTCACTGATCTATCTATGGGTTACGAGGAGAGCTTCAAAATGAAAAAAAAAAAAACTAGGTGTTAGATGTCAAGATGAATGAAAACTGTGTCGTATGATAATATTTCCGATAGAACTTATCGTAAACATTGAAATGAGGCAGTGAGCAGAGGGAAGCTGTAACAGCAGTTGTTGCCATTCTGGCGAGGAGTTCAGATGCAGGATCAGAGCAGGAAGAGAGTGCTGCGTGCAGCTATGACGTCATCTACTCAGGGAAACCAGTCTCCAGGAGATGGGACTGGAAAATGACAGCGAAAACTCTAAGCGTGAGTGGGTAAATCTCGGTTATTCTACAAACCCCCTGTCTCAACTGGTTGGTTTTCGTTGAAATAATCTCGACTGAAAAGGAAAGGATCGAGTTATTGAACTACATGTGGCGTTCGAGTCATGCCCCTGCCTCCCCCTCCCTTCGACCGATCCTCTGCTCCCGGCATTTCTCGTTCGCTTCTTTTTTCCTCCGGTAAGCGCTAAATACATCGACAGCATAACAATGCGATCGCTGCATTGATTATGCTCTATTCTTAGAAAAGTAATAAGTTCTAATTTGCAGATGAGTTTTGATCGGGCGTTGATGCGCCTCGCAGTTCAGAAGCCAAACGAGAATATGTTAACATTATAAATGTAAATAATGTTCAATGGCTGCTCTCGAGCCCCAGACAAGCTGTCTGTTCTTTATCTCCGCGGTTAATTTTTCATTTACCCATTAAAAGACCATAAAACCGCTTTACGGCTCGAAATGGTCAGGAGAACGGGGGATGGGTACCTGGGTCTTCTTTCTCCTCTCGAAAGAACTCGCTCAATTCGTATGGCTCCGAGCATATTTTCTAATTCTTCGCGGAAAATAAAAAAGTGAAATAAAAATTGAAAAATAAGTTGGGGTTTTATTATGACAAGGGCTGGTCTGATTCTTGAGTCCTCCCACCATAAAATCCACCCACCGGTAGATATTTTTGAACCTCGCACTGTGCAGTTCAGGTGAACTATTACATTGCAACACCGGCTAAAATATTTGTTCGGTGAACATCTTATGTGCAAGGGAACCTTGTTACTGACAGCATATCATGATAGATAAGACTAAAAGTTTACAGTAATCATGAATATTATGATATATAATCTCAACAAATAACTTTTATAGTTTCTCAGTGAACCCATAAAAAAAATTCATTCGTAAATATTTTATATTTCTATATCTAAATGTATATTTACGTCCTACAGTAAGTTGAAAAATACATGCTGTCGAGCTAAGCAAGAACAGCAGCGGTTCTCTATTATAGATTTTCCGAGTTTTACTCACAGACGCAAAGTATGACAGCAGAACATTGGGCATATCGACGGTGAAACCAGACCATAAACCTCGGTTTGCGACATTGCAGACTTCCTGTCCAATTTTGCCCGCACTTTAATCTAAAATATCTGAAGATTTCAAGGAAAAATAAGCATAAAGTTCCTAGAACATACATGTTTTATCCGGAGAAAGGCAACTCTCGAATGTCATACGGCGTTCTTCCTCAGCACGGCACAGTATGTCTCGGAGACTTAAACGCAGGATTAGAAAAGTAACGCATTATTATTTTTTATTTTACTTTATTACAGTGCGATCTAAGTATCACAGATCAAATATAGATTATTTTCAATTGGCATCATATCATTGAGAACCTCGAAGAAAATTAAGAGATTTCCATATAATGTTGGAAACTCTTTATTAATATTTCAAGCCATGTTATAACAAATCATTTAGTCTCACCGTCGATATGCTAGGACGTAGCATCATTCATAAACTTGAACATTCTGTTATTTTCAATGTTTCTAAAAAATATTTATTGTACTCGCTACCAATTGAACAAATCAGTTCTTTAGAATAAATCTATACCCAAGTTAACAAATAAAAACTAAATAAAAGCAACCGACTCAACTTTTAAAAATTCGCAATTTACGAGAACGAATACTTTTTAGGTTGCGATTTCCTTAGTTTGAGTGATGAAAATCCGTAATATATCGTAATATATCCGTAATCCGTAAAATAGTATTGCGTTTCCTTCCGTAAGATATAACTTACGCAACTCTCCGGTATGTTTGTTGCCTATGCGGTGAAATTGAAGGAGAGATTCAACCGAATGAGATCCACCAAAGTAATCACAAATCGTCCGTCGATCCAGCCAAAGTATGTTTTCCCCCTCAAATAGCTTGCTATTCGTGTTGATTCCCGGTAAACTCGGCTCTTATCAGTATCCTCAATTTCTCTCTCCTCCTTTTCCTCGTCTTCTTTCTTTCCTCTCATTTCATTGTTATGGCGCCTGGTTTAGCCACTTCTCATATAATTTTCGGCCCCGGATAAGATATCGTGAGAATCTTGTTTGGACTCAGGTGATTACCCTCGAAACTCTCTCGCACCCGAAAAAAAGATATTCTCGCATACGGGATTCTGCCCTCAAGAAAATTGTGTCCAAACTTTTGTCCCTTGGATATTGGAAAGGATCACTGACATTTCTTTATTTCACACAGCGTGGTCGTTTCACAAAACATTTTGCAAAAAAAAAAAAAAAAAAAAAAAAAAAAAAAAAAAAAAAAAAAATTAAACATTTTTCAGTAAAGTGAGGACTGAAGAGTTTAAAGCTTGATTTAAGTCAGAGTTTTCTTTTCTTTGCGGCAAATTCCTCGGCCGCTAATGTGTACAGTCCATCCATAATTATGACCAGAGGAACGCTGGAGACTGCGGCAAGAAATTCTCCTTACCCTGAATTCCACGTAGATGTGGTGACCGCCATTTCTGAAACCTCCCATAGCTCCTCTGATTTTAGGAGGCACATCAGTAAACACCGAGAAAGTCCGGGCTCTGCAGCATCACTCGTCTTCAATTTGATGTTTCTCATTTTATTAGTTCACAGACTATTCTCATCTTTGATGACAAAATAAAGGGAAAAATCGTAATCTTCGTCGGCAAACCCGGGAAGAAAATTGTTCATTTTTCGTATTCAGATAGTATATAAATGGACAATTTGGAAGCTAATTTTTTACATTGAAAAAACGATTTTGCGCTGAGCACTTAGTGTTTAGATGTTTAAGGGCCTCCCTCGCCCCCTATACTGCCGTGCTGAGGAAAAACGCCGTATGAACATTCGAGAGTTGCCAAATTTCCTCCGATAAAATGTTCATTTTTTAGGAAAGTTATGAATATTTTTCCTTGAAATTTGCAGGAGCTTCAGGTGAAATTGCGAGCAAAATTATCTGAAAAGTTGGAAAGAAAGTATTCATAAGTTTACCAGGAAAAATTCGGTTTTTATCAAAGGAAATTTGGCAACGCCTGGAGGTTCATACAGCGTTTTTCTTTAGCACGGCAGTATAGCTCACGGTACCGATGAGAGGATTTGTCTGTTCTCTAATTTTTCTCAGGGACAACCCTTGAAATCTTGGAAAAACCAAAGATTCTGACGGCGTTTTTCCTTACCTCACGGCAAAGCTGATCCCCTGACCTAAGATCAGCTCCTCTGTTGAGTCATAGCTCATGCCTCATGCTAGTCGGCCGCCGTGCCGTGAGGTGAGAAGGGTCCGTAACGTTATAGCGTTACGTTACGGTCGTGGTACCTCCTCCACAGTGGACCTATCTGATCCGTCCGTAGCGTAGCGGGGACGTATACCTAGGTTACCTGCCAGCTCGTCGCGCCGCGCCGGCCGCTCGGCGCTTGGATCCACGGTGGCTTCTCGCTCCCTCAGTCGACGCGTGTCTCCTCGACCGGCATAGTCGTCGTCCGCTGTCCCTCTAGCTCCATAGCCTCAAACCCCGCAACTAACTTGTTTATAAACATTCCCGACGCTGCCTTCTCGAAATTAATTTTTGCGCCTCCCTCCGCGGATCCGCCCTAATCACACTCAAGTTTTGTGCCGAGACATTTTTTCACTTCCCCAACTTTCTCCGTAGATTTCCTGTGAAAAGTTCGAAGTTTAGCTCCTGGAAGTTTAGTGAAGTCGGTGTTTAGTGGTTGATATCCTTGGACAGTTAAGAGTAACGAAATGGATTTTTTTTTCTGGTGAGTTATCTTTTTGCCAATTCATGGGGAGCGCATGGGGAAATAAACCGAGTTTTCTTGATTCTATTTGACGTTTTGAACCAGCGCACAATCGCGTCTCACGTTGCGGAATTTTTCCTCATTTTATAGTCTATCAATCGAGAACTAAACAACACAGCGCCTTAAAACTCTCTTTTGAATTTTTACTAGATTCTGAATAATGTACTTACGCAGTATTCAGTCAGAATGTTGCTTGTACTTTTTTTTTAAAGAAAATATAAAATGAGTAGAAATAAGGCAACGTCTGACGCAGTTACACTCATTATTGTTAAAACAGCCCATCTGATCTTCTGCGAGAGGTCCTCTTGGGGCTCTGAAGCATTAAGCTTGAGCTGAGATACATGGAAAAAACAACTTAGCGCTGAGCCCTAACACTTCAGGTAAAATAGCGCCAACTTAAGGTAGTAGGACCCTAAAGCTGTGGGACCACTGCTTTCGGTAGACGTTATGTTACCTAAAGTGTTAGGGCTCAGCGCTTAGTTGTTTTTTTTATTGTGTTCAGATAGAAGTTCGAACCATTTCAAAATGATCTAATGATGACGTATTATGAACTTAAAGTATAAAAAGAGAGTGAGAGGTTTCATTAAAGAAAGAAGCAGACGGAAATTTCGGAACTGTAATTTTTCGCAAATACCGTTCTGTCAAGGCATAGATTTGCTCGATTAGCATTGAGCAAATGAAAAAATCCCTATAGATTTCCCTATAGATAGTATCCCTATCAGATAATTTTTTCCTTCATTTTCCCCTTTCTTTTGCAAATCAAATCCTTGCGGAAATGTTTAGCTTACTATTATTGAAAATCTATATACTCAACTGCAAAACGAAGGTTTCTATCAAATTGTCAGTTTTGTATAGCTGTGGTTTATTTTAGTTTTATTTAGTGTGACTTATTTTGTCAGTTGTTCCTCAATTTATCAAAAACTGTTGAGTGTGAACAAGGTTGGGGTCAATGATTGGAACAACTCAAAATAGACCAATTTTGATTGAACCCGTGTCGGCTTATTAGTCCGAGGGTGAAAATAAATGCAGGAGGTACCGTTATTTCATGAATACTGATTCTCTACATGCACATTGACTTTGCCCTGCATTTTGTAGGTGCGAGCGACAAAAGTAAACTAGAAGTTGGCAACCTCAGCCAATTTCATATGCAATTCAAAGAACATATTCCAAAACAAGCAGCCAGGAAAGAAGTTTTAAGTGGAAAAGTTATTTAATTGCCGAAGAGATCAATTGCAACGAAAACGTGTCTGCTGATGGCTGGTCTTGTACCCTTAGATTTCTACGAGCTGTGGTTTTTTAGAAGAAAAAAGGTTGGTCATAATTCGTCGTTTCCCGAACGAAGGAACACTGAAAAAAAGTAGCCTGCTCAAGCATGATGATTCTTGAATTTGCCGCCAATAATTTTTTTTATCTTGCTTTAAGCTGAATTATTCTTGATACAAGAAAAATGACGCTTGGGTTAAGCAAAAAAGTAGTTTATATTAACCAGCAAAATTCTTGATTTAAGATGGAATACTTCTCGGCGGCAAGTTTAAGATTTTTTTTCTCAGTGAAGGTAGCTCCATTCCAAGGTTGCAAAATTGTGTCAAACAATTCATTTTTTACAAGAATATAAACCTGTGCAATTTTTGATCAAAATTACTCTAGTTTTGCATGAGATCAGAAGAAAAATCAGGGAAATTTTCAGTTAGAGATCGCCGAGATTTTTCCGGTAATAATGCAAATTGCGAGGGGAAATCTGGCAATATCGACTATTAGTTATGTTCTTTCGTGGGGAAAACGGCAAATTATGAATGAACGGTACATGTGCATGTTAGCGGCCGAGCAATTAGCATAAAATAAAATAAAATAAAATAAAAACATGTGCAAAAAGAACATAACTTCGACTCTCGATTCCTATGTTCTCTACATATTTTGAGAACAGTGATCCACTGGGCACTCCGGATACACTGAAAAAAAAAAGTAGCTTGGATCAAGCATGATGATTCTTGAATTTGCCGCCAAGAATTTTTTTATCTTGCTTTAAGCTGACTTTTTCTCGATACAAGAAAATTAATGTTCGGGTTACGCAAAAAAGTAGCTTATATTAACCAGAAAAATTCTTGATTTAAGAAGAAATACTTCTTGGCGGCAAATTTAAGATTCTTTTTTTTCAGTGTACCTATCAGGGGTAATTTTAAAATGACTATCTTCGCCTAAAAATGTAGGTGTCATCGACTCAAGATCACTTACTTTACTCGATTCACGATTCACTTGATCTGAATTATGCCAAGTCAAACCTACGACGCGCTAGAGTACTCGCAAAATTATAGATGTACTTTCACGTAGCTTATTTGCAATTCGAATTCAACTTCTGAAGTGCGAGAAAGTTTAATGCAATTTACGAGCACCAATTTCCCCTCTCGTCGAATTAATCCGTGTGCCATGTGATTCATCCAGTTGATAAGTTTTCCTGGTATGAGAGATTGGCAAACGTTTAAAAATGTTCCAGTGACTCGCTCATCTACTATTCGCTGGGCGGATCTGTTTGTGCTGCATGTTCCTCCCATCAACGGTTTAATTTCCGGGATACATCTGAAATGAATCAGTGAGAACGGAAACACACCAACTCGGAAAAATGAAAATAATCAAGACATACACAAAACTGCACAGTAGAAGAATAATTTAGTCCAAGAAAAAGATGTTTGGTGCCGAAAGACAAGCACTACAGGGCATTTTAAAGGTCCAAGATGGAACAGATGCGCTAACTTCAATGCCTTTTATAAAAACTGACTATCTTCAATGAAAATGTAACATTTTCGAATTATCGAGTTGGTGTGTTTTCGTTCTCACTGATTCAAATATGTTCACATTGCGAATTGCAATATTATACATATTTCGGTAAATAACCACCAATTTTAAATTATCAACAAAATAAGTTTTATGTGCGAGGAAGATAGGCACTTTGCGCTGAAAAAATGTAGTAACATGATGCAATTTTTTATCGTAACAAACCTCAATGAGAGGAGCCCCTTCAATTAGTGGATAGGCAACTTACACAACAAAGTAAAACAGCAATAATTTTACCATGTAATTGCAATTTATTGAAACTTATCCCACTTGAGAATATAATGCGTTACTTTTCTAGTCTCGCGTTTAAGTCTTTGAGAAATACTAATATTGCAATGGATTTGCTCTTTCGTTCCAAAGATGTAAAAATACACACCCTAGCTGAGATGGAGGCTTATGCTGCCGTACTAAGGAAAAACGCCGTATGAACCTTCAGGCATTGCCAAATTTCCTCTGGTAAATTGCTGATCTTCAGGAAAATTTTTGAATATTTGTCTACCATTTTCTCAGATAATTTTGTTTGTAATTTGATCCAAAATTTCTGAAAATCTCAAGGAAAAATATTCGTAATTTCCCTCAAAAATAAACATTTTATCAAAGGAATTTTGGCAACTCCCAAATGTTGATACGGCGTTCTTCCGTAGCACGGCAGTATGTCCCTATTGCTGAAATTCTCTTCACTCTCAGATCTTCATCTTGGGTCATCATTCGACCAGTTTTTGAGTATTGTAGCTCCTTAAATTTTCGGGTAATGCGTGATGAAATACTCTCGAATTAAAATTTCAAATTTTTCAAAATGTTTGCAAACCGTGCTTAGCTTGGTCTTCAGGCTTCTCTAGAGCGTTTCCCATCGAGACCTCAAAATCCCCGATTTTGACCTCTCACGTCCTAAAATCGGCTCCACAATTTGCTCTGGGAAGGGAGCGTCCCTTTTTCTGTCACATTTTATAATCGGCCCCACAACGCGGCCTGAACTTTTCACCAAATATACTCAAGGGCATTAAAAAGTGTTCACTGGAAAAAAAGTATTTTGGATCTATAGCCAGCTACTCTTTCAAAATTCGATACGAAATACTTACTCAGGCACGCGGATTTTTGCTCGAATCAATTAAGAGCCCAACTTACTTTAAACGGATTTTCTTTTGATTCAAGTAAAAATCCGATCGAATCAAGAGTAATTTTTCTTGTCAAGTTTTAAGAGTCTGGACTAAAGCTCCATAAGATTTTTTTCCAGTAATTAGCACTAAAGGGCCGAGCCGTCCCTAAATTACGTTATGCACTTCTTCGGCATTTTGATCCCCTTCTTTTGTAACGCTTTTGTTCTAGCCTTTAACACGTACAAAAAATGGCGCAGCGCTCTCCTCGACCTCCCTCCCCTACAATGTTACGCAGTTTAGGGACGGCCCCTTGAAACTGAAAATCTTCTTTTTTTTAACCTAAAATCATGGTTTTTGCTGTGCTGGTCAATTCGAGCCTCCGTCTAAACGAACATTCCTTCCAGCTCCATCACATATGGGGCACAGGCACTTCACCTAAGAATAATGTAACCCAGCCTAAACCCAGTAATGTAACCTAACCATGTACAATTTTACAGAATATTACAGAATCAAAAGCATTTTTCTCTTCACATGTTGTGAGATTCTGGACTCTGGCTACAAGAAACTTTCTATCAGTTATTAGCACTAAAAACTTTTTTTTTTTTTTTTTCTTACAAAAATCGGTTTTTTTCTGTGCCGGTCAGTTGGTGCTTCCACTTAGAGGCACATTTCCTCCAACTTGATCACTATGATTCATCGGGCGAAAACATTAATTATTCCGGAGGAATCTCCTTTCCAGGGGGGACTTCCTGCGCCGAGGCTGGGGACCCGAGTGGTGACCGCCCGCGCCCCGTGTCTCGCATCTCGCCGCGCCCGCGTTGGGACTTGGGAGTGCAGTGTGCGGTGCTTTGTCGGCCTTCACTCTCATCATTCTTTGGTGGCTCAGCCGAACCCAACGGGGAACGGGCGGATGAGGAAATGCATATCCAATGCAGCATGTACCGGGCACCCGCCCGTGGCCAAGGCACACACATCAAGTCCGTTCACGTTCCCTCCTCTTCTAGAGTTTGTACCCCTGTCGCGGGTCCGCTCTGT